GTCGTAAGTCGAGGACTACCCAACCGGTCGTAAGTCGAGGACTTTCCCTGCCTGGGAGCGCCGCGCATGCGTGGTTCCGCCTCCTGCGCCGGCCAAGGCATAGCTGGCAAGCGGCAGAGACGGAGCAGACCGACCACCAGCTGGCCCAGCCCAAGGGAGGTAAGGCACCCGCTGGAAAAGGGGAAAAAATGGCGAACAAAAAAATGGCGGACAGCCTTGCTTGGCGACCCCCATGAAATGGTCGATCGACCCCAAATGGGGTCCCGACCCACAGGTTGAGAACCACTGGCCTAGCCCTAGATATAGTAGATGGCCTATAGCAGGGGTCTTCAAACTTGGCCCTTTTATGAATTGTGGACTTCAACTCCCAGAATTCTGGCTGAGGAATTCTGGGAGTTGAAGTCCACAAGTCATAAAAGGGCCAAGTTTGAAGACCCCTGGCCTAAAGCATCAGAAAGCACTCAACCACTTTAAACTATAAAGGTGGCCCTTTCAGATCTTAGTCACTACAATATCTTTCCATATTGATGAGTAGCATCACAACATCAGAAAATATTACAACATCACATTTGGTGCAACAAGACTCCACCACTTCTCGAAAAACTGGACACTGCCATTGCCTAACTAATACTGAAAATGACATATTTTAACTTATCTAAGATTATAATGATTTCAAGCACATGCACGTGCACAGAGATCTTCCATAAACCTCCTGGTGAAAACAATAACAACACTGGTTATAGAAAGGAATAAAAATTCACGGCAGACTGAAGAGCAGAAAAATCATCAACTTACTAAAATTTACAAAAAAAAGATGCTGTTGTATTTCAAAAGGCACAGTTCTTAGCTTATTAACAACATCACTACTACCTGCACTTCTTACTAATTTTATTGCTTTACTATTTCTTGCCTTGTTTGTAACGTTTGCCTGTCCTATGCTCCCAAGTACGTTTCAAATATTTCCTGCTGGCTCTTGCTTTCCTCTCTTTTTTCATGGGCAAACATTGCACTAACACATAGAATGGCTCAACAGCTTCTCATCAGGCTTATAATTATAATTTCTCTCTGCATCAAATTCGGCCTATTAAAACTAAAAGCCAAGTTAGTTGTTGCTCCAAACGAGACTATATCTAATGACCAGCAGTCTAGAAAACCAAATAAAAGATAAATCTTCTCTCTTTCTTTCTGTTTATCCGGGTGACAGTTCCATTCGCATGCCTAACTTCTAAGAACAACAAGCTTAGCAAGAAGGATTACCTCTGAAATCAGCACACACCCTTTTTGCTTTTACCAAAGCCAGGTGCTATATATAGGCAATCCAGAAACTGCAGGGAATCCTTCCACTGATTATACTGTTTGACACAAGCTCCATTTCCAAGATTGTGGAAAATGAAAGAATAAAGAAAGCTGCATTTTAGTCCGGTTTTCTTGAAATTTGGCGTGCACGTTTGTTTGCCCGACTATCAGACACATTCTAGCGAATAGGAAAAAAATAGACAATATATTTCTCCATAGGGTTACTGTGATGAGGACCTCTTTCCTGCAAAGAGATTAGCTAAGCAGTTTGGCAGCTGAACAGAGACAGTCAGGACAATTCGTACTGGGTCTTCATCTGTTTTAAAAAAAAACGATTTTCTTAGATTTGTAGGAGTGTTCTAAGATGAAACATTATAAGCATTCATTGTGGATTGAATGGACATCAATGCACATGCAACTGGAGCTAGCAGCTGTTACATTCAGTTATTCGTTTTTATCAATCCCATAATTTAGTGTATTTGAGAGTACAGGGCAGGGATGCAAAGAAAAAATGTAGCTTATGAATCACTAGAGGAGATCCTTTTTTCAGCCTGCCCACACACTCCACTGGTTCTTTTATTCTTGCATTTTTTTCAAGGAGAAAAATGGATGTCTAAAGTCATACAGAGGCTGGATCCCCTCAAACCAGGATGATTCATTGGTTGTGTGCATTTAGCGAAGGGTTTTCAGGCTTTAATCTAATTTAAATGTCAACAATAACCCCAGCAAATTTATATTTTGAATGCTTAAATCAGAGTTCCCCAACCTTTTGGGCACCAGGGACCGGTTCCGTGGAGAGAGGTTTTTCTGCGGACCGGAGGGTGTGTGGTTTTGTGTGCTGCCTGCATCCCAAGGATGGGGCTTTGCTTGTTTGTGCGGCCCGGTTGCTAGCATGCCATGGCCTGGTACTGGTCCATGGACCAGGGGTTGGGGACCCCTGGCTTAAATCACAAACCTCTGGAAGATTTTTTTGTTTTGTTTTGTTTTAAAAAAAACACAAGTTATTTGGGCCACTAGAAAGTTTTTCCTTCCTGGTATAATATATGAGAAGATAACTCTTCAAGTGGTGGTCTCTAAAAAGTTTTATAAAGCATTCTGGGATGGGTACTGCCAGAAAATAAATGATGTACAACATAAGAATTTTCCTAAATTCCAACCAGTGTTAATCGGTGGTAAAATTTGATTCAAAACAAACAATAAATTAATCTCTACATATGCAATTCATACACATGCTGCTAGTTTTTCTACCACGACAGGAAATGAAATTATAACAGCAGTCTCATGGCAACATTAAGTTGAGTTGATAAACCAGGGGATTGCATATATCTGCGTTTGCTGCAAACTATCAAGAGTCAGTTGTGTATTGTCAGACATAAGCCAAGGTTGCTTAATAAAAGCATCATTACTCATTGTTATTTCAAATTATTGTTACCATAAACATACACCATAGCCCATAAACAGCCTCCTTTGCACTGTTAGACACTACCAGCTTATCTGCAATAAAACACCTGTGATTTCTGTTAAATAGTAATAGCACACACACACACAAATACAAAATCATTAAGTGAGGAAACAAAGATTAATAATAGATATTTTCTTAATTTTGCACATGTGAATTTCCTTTGGTTGATTCAAGTGTCTGTATTCCAATAACAGAACACATAGCTTCTCTCAATCTAAAGTTAAGGAATATATATTTACAACCAATAAACATAAATTATTTTTCTCATAGTAGATTCCTCATTCTTTGCAATGTCTGAACATTTTACACTGAATGGTCTTATTGATCTCAACAACTGATACGTTTTAGTAGACATTGCACAACTTCCCAATAAGTAGAAAACATTCTAAAATTACAGAAAGGTAGACTCCCGCACATAAAGAGCAAAATTATGTTTCCCAATGAAGTATATTTTGTATGACAACACACTTCAGTCCAAATGTGTGGCTACTTGAATACCAGAATTGGAGAGATGTCAGCATTTCAAGCAACCAGAAGACTGACACAGATTTAGTGTTTCTGTAGTACAAAGTGATTCATAACACAATTCTCCATACAATAGATTAACAGGAAAGACAATTCCTGTGTTCAACTGGAAAAGCTGCACTTTTCAGTGCTGCCAAGAGCTGAAAGCGTCAACAGCTAATTCACAGCTGCAAGTGACATACAAGCTTTGAAAATTCAATGAGCTAGTCATTATTTGATGAAAAAAGTGATATGAAAAGAATACACAGGGGAGGCAGAATGGCACTTTGTGCAGTTTTCGAGCAAAATCTCCACAGTATACAACTCAATTGCATTTAGCCCCATATCAAACCTAGGCTGAGTGCTTATCCTTGTTAACGGCAATTCCCAACTCTGGGAGACAGATTTGAGCTTTTCCATGCAGTCATTCCATTATTAATTGAAAATGTTTGATTTTGCAAACACTTTTTGAAAAATAAGTCTAGCTGGCTCACCACGGTGTTTTAATTTTATCTGCTGCTTTGTTTCTTTAATATCTTTATCACTAATACTTAACAGCACAGTGGTGGTTTTAATGTTGTTTTAACTTTCTTTGATGATGTGGTTTGTGGAAGATAGGTGGGGAGGGGGGAGAAACTTGTTCTAGTAAATGGAACTAGATCAAAACTATCTGGCTTAATTGTAGAAAAAAATATTGAGGACGTTTGTAAGCTCTTGATGCTTAATTTCCCTAATACTATATAGAGCTCCAGATTTATTATAGACAATACAATAATACCTGAACTTGATAGCCAATTGAACCCTATATTTACTAGAGATGCCCCCCCCCACAAAAAAGGAAAAATGAATACAGCAGTGTGCACACACACACACACACACACACACACACACAGAAACTCTTAAGTGAGAAGTGGCATTACATTCTGGCCTCTTTGCACAAGAAGTGCTTGCTCAAAATGGTATGGGGTTTCCTGCCTGAGCAGGGGGTTGGACTAGATGACCTCCAAGGTCCCTTCCAACTTTATTATTATTATTATTATTATTATTATTATTATTATTATTATTATTATTATTATTATTATTATTATTATGACAGTTTTTCAAATTCTGGGAACAAAATTATAATAAACCTTGCCCTCTGCCACTATCTGCTCTTATTTAAAATATGTCAAAATTTATCCTTTAACAGATGCAGGAACACACCTATTATGTAGATATTATCCTACTGAGGATGATGATTACAAGTCCCAGAATCCCCAACAAATAGTCCCATTCTCAGTTCCTGGTGGAAGAAGATGCTCCACTAAAAGCTTTAAACACTCAGTACTGCTGTCTTTGCTAAGTTTATGCATCCTTTGGCAAGGAGAAGTATTGAGAGTATAGAGCAGGGGTCCCGAACCCCCGGTCCGTGGACCAGTACCAGGCCGTGGCATGCCAGCAACCGGTCCGCACAAACAAGCAAAGCCCCGTCTGTGGGATGCAGGCAGCACACAAAACCATGTACCTCATGGTCCGCCGAAAAACCTCTCTCCACGGAACCGTTCCCTGGTGCCCAAAAGGTTGGGGACCTCTGGCACAGAATATCACACTAGCACTAAGTAGCAACTGATTCTCATCTTAAGAGCTCCATAAAGGGAACTTCTATGGAGCATGTTCAGTTCCAATTGTTGTCCTACTTAAAAACTCATGATTATACACAGCTTATGATTGGACGTTAATTATATACAAATAATTTTGTTTAGTTTTGATGCCAAAGCAAAATCAAACCAAACATAGCTAGTAAACCGACCTCAATTGGTTCCGCAGGTATTTTCAATTTGGGCAAATTGGTCTTGATGTTGGTTTTTAAATTTGTTATTTTTCCATAGGGCCGTTCCTGGTATTCCTCTGGCAGTGGCTTGAGTTCGGGTGACTCATCTGGAGCCTGGTCTTGGCCATCCATTGGTCTAACGTAGGCAGTGGGTTTCTGTTGTATTGCACTGGTTTTTGATAAGGATGACGGAAATGCCTGGCTGGAAAGCTGAGCATTGACTGCTACAGTAGCGGTCAAAGTGTCCTCATTTTCATTATCATGTGTGCTGGTCAGGAACTCCTGAGATGTGGAGCTACTTTGCCCATGCTTTTTGATCTTACTGTTGTGGGATCTGGAACTGACACACTGGCCGGAATGTAGAGGGGACAAAGGCGGTACAGGAGAAGACAATGTAGACAATAAAGGAGAAAGTTCCATAAGTGAAGGTTGTGCCTCAGGTGCAGTAGATTTTTCAGTGTACTTTTTACTTTTCTGCTGATATCTACCACTTTGTAGTCCTTCAGTCTTGCAGCTCTTTGCTGGACCTGGCTTCTGATAGCTAGACAATCCAGCACTTTGTGAGGCTGGCTCCACCCTTGAGTGAATTTTTGAGTAGGAGCTGCCCACAGCTGGAACATCTGAGCTAAGAGGTCCCACGTGTTTGTGATGATGGCTGTGGTTCTGGAATGGGGTACCAGTCTTTTCAGAAAAGAGAGGGTGATCTACTTTATGAGGAGGGAGCAGAGGCATGACACTTGTAGGGATCCCTATAAAATTCTGATAGAACTGGTTGACGATGAGCTCTTTCATCTCTTCATAATTGCCAAACATTTTCTGAATTCGGCTAGACAGTTCATCAGCTTTGTTAATCTGAAATGAGAAAGAATGCCAAGGAAAAAAAAGCAGTGAAAAAAAAAACAGGAAGAGCAAGAAAAAGCAGAAATAAGGTTCGAAGCTATGAATTAAGGCCAAACAGCTGCTTGTCCATCAGCCTAAGATCTCACTTTTCAACAATCAATTTGCAACAATAGCTCAGGTTTTCTAACAACCTGCAAACTACAACGGCTTGCAGTGTGTTCTTTGTGCGAAGGTGCAATGTCATGCAACAAACATTTCTCCGCTTCCTCCAGCAATCCTTTTGAGGGTATGCTCAGCCTTTGTAACACATTGCTGTTAAGGGAGAGGAGAGTACTAGAGTCCCAGACGGATATTTCTATTTTTTGAGGCAATAACCCAAAAATAGATGGAAAAGAAATGGCACCACAGATTCAATAAAATCTAAATATAGGTACTTTAGTACTTATGTGGCGACAAAAAAGGTAAATATTCCATGCATTTGAAAAAGTATTTTGCATCTCTTTTGTATTCACTGACCAGAACAGCAGGAAAAAGAGAAAACGCTCTTTTATCTTGATAAATCATTGGTCTATATCAGGGGTAGTCAACCTTGGCTCTTTTATGACTCGTGGACTTCAACTCCCAGAATTCCTGAGCCAGCACTACCCCTGGTCTATATAGAACTGGAATTTCAAAGTTTGAGGGTATGTGTGTGTGTGGGGGGGGCAATCTAATCTCCACAGTGATGATACTCCAAAAGGAGGGAGCCATCACGGAGAAGACCCTTCTTCTGGGTCCCGCCAGATGAACCTCCTTAGGAGAGAGGGACCACAACATTCCCTGCCTCTCCAGTCTGGTGGGTTGGGTGAATGTAACCAGGAAGAGACGTTCCTTCAAATATCCTAGCCACGTAGCGCTTTAAAGGTGACAACCAGCACCTTGAATTGCACCCAAAAGCAAACTGGCAACCAATGCAGCTCCTGCAAAAGAGACGACAAATGTGCACACCTGGGTCTGCACAAAACCACGTGGGCCGCTGTGTTTTTGAACCAATTGGAGCTTCTGAATGCTTTTCATGGGCAGCCCCATGTAGAGCATATTGCAACAGTCGAGATCGGAGGTGACTTGGATAAAGGCCTTAAGTTTTGTAAAAGCTTAAGCCACCCATACTGTGTGCTGCAAAGGACACTGGCTTAGCATGAAGGATAGACCAAATCTAACTTTCAAATCCTCTTGTAACAAAGAGGCTAACTGGAAAAATATAGAACAGGGCTTTTCAACCAGTGGTACAGGTACCACCTGCGGTACATTGGCACCTGGCAGGTGGTACGCGACCATCCTAGAAAAGTGGTAGCGGGGGAGGGGAATGAGCTGAACTGGTGGCAGCACTGCATAATCCTGAGAGAGATGGCTGGAACTGCAGGGCTGTCAGGGCTCAGCGGAAGTGCCAGGATCAGTGCTTGTTCGGGACTGTCAGGGCTCAGTGGAAGCACCAGGATCAGCGCCAGGCTCCAGCTGGAGCTCAGCGCTGATCCTGGTGCTTCCACTGAGCCCAGAAGAAGCGCCAATCAGCTGGAATGTTGCAGCATCTCCAGGGTCTTGTGATTTACATTCAGATGCTTGGCAACTGATTCATATTTATGACGGTCACAGTGTCCCCAGGGTCATGTGAAGTGACCAAAACCTGCTGCAACCACCCAGCAGACGGGGGGAATAAAAACCAACCCCCCCCACCCCACCCCCGCTGCCAATCCTCAACAGAAATGCTCACAACAATGAAAACCTCGGACAGAAGGAAGAGCGCTGCCGGGCGGGCGGGCAGGTGTCTTGCTCAGCTGTGGCTTGGGGGGGCACTTTTTTCAGTGCCATTGTAACTTCAAACCATCACTAAGCGAACTATTGTAAGTCGAGGACTACCTGTACTTTATCACTTTTTTCTTTCTTTTTTTTTGGGTCATCAAGTTTTTGACCCCTTGCTAGGCGACTGGTGGTACTCGGATGTTGCCATATCCTAAAAGTGGTACAATGGGTGAAAAGGTTGAAAAGCCCTGATATAGAACTATAAGCTCCCTCTATGGTATAATGGAGATATGCTATGGATACCTTGTAAGGCGCTCCAAAAAGGGGAATATCTGCGGGGAACGCTTCTCTCTCCTGATGAGCTTCCTGATTTCGCCTTTCTTTTGCTTGAATGCGGAGCAAATTTCTCTCTTCATTGTACAAGCTGTTGGGAGAGCAAGCATTTCATCATGAAAGCAACACATTTTTCAACTGACATTTTTAAGAATTTCAAAGGAAGTTGGGTAATTCAGCAACTCAGGAAACTGGCACATAACGGTTAGCCTCACAGCACCGCATATATCCACTTATCTATGGACATACATGTAGATATGCAGAAAAACCCTTTGGGAAAAAATAGCAAATCTCTAAAATGGCAGCATTTCTCAAGGTTACCAAGTCATTGTTCAATGTGGCTTTGTAAGTTTTAAGGTTACATATCTCTTCATGAGGTTCTTCATTTCAGCCACTTCTTGGACTCAACGCTTTAGGAAATAATAGCTTTCACGCTCACAGCTCACAAAGGTGAATGGAAGAGGTTAATACTCTAAATTGAATAAAGAAGAGTTGCTTACTATAGCAATACAAGATCTAGTTCAGTTCTGAAACTTACACAACTTGTCTGACAAAGTAGGCAATTGGGTAGAGGTAAGGAATGTTATGATATATGCAACAGCTTCTTGGCTTTTCTAAACCTTACACAACTTCTACATCTACCTTAACAAATTTCACAACAGCTGTCTTTGTGTCTTAAGGCATAAGAATATCCAAGAAGAATGAACGTCCTCTTATTTACACACTCACAAAAAATATTTATTGCTCTCCTACATTATACAAGTTCACTCTTAAATGCTGCTCTATTTCCAATCTTTAAGAAAAGATTGTCAAGCTATTTTCCAAGGAGCCTGCAGGCAGGAGAAGAAGCAACGGATGGAAACTAATCAAGGAGAGAAGCAACCTAGAAGTAAGGAGAAACTTCCTGACAGTTAGAACAATTAACCAATGGAACAAACTGCCTCCAGAAGCGGTGAATGCTCCAACACTGGAAGTTTTTAAGAAGAGACTGGACAGCCATTTGTCCGAAATGGTGTAGGGTTTCCTGCCTGAGCAGGGATTGGACTCGATGACCTCCAAGGTCCCTTCCAACTTTATTATTATTATTATTATTATTATTATTATTATTATTATTATTATTATTATTATTATTATTATTATTAAAGAAAAAAGAAATGGATTCTGCAATTTCCCCATGGTTTTCTGTGAGTGAATGAACTGACGTTTTCCCTTCTAATGCTTTATTCACACGGAAGCCGCGCCCACCCCATTGCCGGCAATGGCAAAACAGTCCCGATACGTTGTGCAACGTCACTTGTCTGAAATGGTATAGAGTCTCCTGCTTGAGCAGGGGGTTGGACTAGAAGACCTCCAAGGTCCCTTCCAGCTCTATTCTGATTGGTATTTCCCAGTTGCAATGTATGGATGTGAAAGTTGGACCATAAGAAAGGCTGAGCATCAAAGAATTGAGGCCTTTGAACTATGGTGCTGGAGAAGACTCCTGTGAGTCCCTTGGACTGCAAGGCATTCAAACCGGTCAGTCCTAGAAGAGATCAACCCCGACTGCTCTTTAGAAGGCCAGATCCTGAAGTTGAAACTCAAATACCGGTACTTTGGCCCCCTAATGAGAAGGAAGGACTCACTGGAGAAGGGCCTAATGCTGGGAAAGACTGAGGGCAAGAGAAGAAGGGCACGACAGAGAACGAGGTGGCTGGATGGAGTCACTGAAGCAGTAGGCGTGAACTTAAATGGACTCCAGAAGATGGTAGAGGACAGGAAGGCCTGGAGGAACATTGTCCATGGGGCCGTGATGGGTCGGATACGACTTCGCAATTAACAACAACAAATGCTATTACAGTTTTTAGAACAGCATTTATTTGTTGGGGGGGGGACATTTCATAAGTAAAAAGCATGCAGGATAGCCCTGATCTATGGCATCTTTCTCCCTCCATATATATCCTTCAGTTTTCCAGCTCTCCTCCCAATGCAAATGTTGACCACTTAGAAAGCAAATTACAAATGGTAGCCAACTGCTCTCTGAAAAGAGGCTCAGTTTTCATCCACCATAATGAAATTTCAATGTTTTCTTAAGCTCCTACCCTAACATAAAGGCATGGTTTGTCAGCATTTTTCTTGCAGAGATCATGAAAGCTGTAACAAATCCTGTTCCCCAAACAATGGCCTCTTTTGGTTTTTCATCCTTGGATTGAGTGTGCAGTTTTACTACATGCAGGGTAGGGAAAATGGAGCTGCAGTCTTTTCAATCATTTTCAGTGCAAGCAAGTTAATTGAAAAAGCCTCCGAATGTTGATATATATGTGAACCTTATCCTTTAAATCAACTCCTTTATCCACACACAGGAGAAACTGACAGAGATGCAATATCAGGAAAAACAAGGTTATGTAAGAAACCTGGCATGGTTTTATGGGAACCACAATCTGATCTGTACTTTTCTTCTGCTTTCAATATTTTTTGCTATATTAATTTACAACACCTAGTGGTGCTAATACTGCAGCATTCAGCCAACCTTGACTGATCTTGAAAAAAAGACTAAAGAGATTCAGATGAACAGGATGGGTGACTACCAGAACCCTAAATTAGACTGAAAAGTTTTTTTAAAAATATTAAAATACTTGGAAAAGACAGTAGAAAACCAATTCCACAATATTGCCTAGGGGAAAAAAGCATCCATGTAGTTATCAGAATTGAGCTGAACTGAAAAGGGGGACAGCTTTACCAATTTTAGAGGTGTAAATTAATCAGTAAGGATTCTCAGGTTTTATTGAGTTCAGCAACATTAATATCTATGGTTAAGATTGCAATTGAAGGCTGGGGGCAGGGGGGGGGAGGAAAGCTGATCACATGTTCTGGCTTCAACCTAATCCTACAGAGTGGATTACATGGTTTTTTAAATTATTGGTGTCGGATTAAATTCATAAAAGTTTTACTAAAGACACTGGGTAGACATCCGGAATGTTTTCACGATGAAGTGGCTTCTTTCCAATTTCTTAGTGCCAACTACAGCCCTTTTTTAAAAAAAAAAACAACCTCCCTTTTCACGACCCTGTAATCCCTTAATTCGGGGTAGAGTCAGGGCGACTGGATAGAGCTGAAGGGCTGGATGCCCTTCCTGACGCCACGCGGCGTTCATAGCAGGCATTTTTTCTTTGCGCCCTACGAGAGAAACATCTGCTACTACCTAGGATTGAACTCTCAACCTTCCAAGTGGGAAGTGAGCATCTTCATCACCAGGCCACTACACAGCTCATGACTCGTGTAGTAAAACTGCACATTCTACTGATCAAAATTGCATTAATGAATGCAGTGACGGTTAGCAAGTTTATTTTTTGTCCATCAAATTGTGCCTGCACGAAGGTATAATAACTCACAGAATTATCAACAGTGATGGCAAACTGAGATTGTAGTTATCATTAAATAATTTTAGCTCACCTTTTTACTCCCAACAGGCAAGTTTATTCCCTATAGCAGTGATGGCAAACCTTTTAGAGACCGAGTGCCCAAACCGCAACCCAAAACCCACTTATGCATCGTTGGGTGCCGAGTGGGTGTGGCCCATTGGGTGGATGTGGCCCATTGGGTGGGTGTGGCCCATTGGGTGGGCATGGCTGCGGTGGTAATGGCAGACTGGGTGGGACTAAAAAGTTCAATCAATCAATTCCAACTTTGCAAGATCTGTTTTTTTCCCCGTGAGAAGTTGAAAATGACTGATTGATTGAACCTTTTTTTTTTTGTACCCAGCAGTGGAGGCCTAAAGCGAAAAGGTTTTATAAAACCCAGCTGAAGGCCTAGGACTGGGGCGACGACGCACGTGCCCACAGAGAGGGCTCTGAGTGCCGCCTCTGGCACCCGTGCCATAGGTTCGCCACCACTGCCCTATAGTCAAAATAACCCAATGCAAAATTTCTGCATATTCATCTGCTCTCCTCTATTCCCCTCTTGATAATAATCCCATAATATTGAGGTTAGGCTAATAAAATAGTCCTATTCATAACTACTGAAAGTGGTTGCCATAAAGAGCTTTCTTTCAAAAGGCTACTCTAATCACTACATATCAATGCTTTTCAACTGTCATTATTTCTAAAAAAAAAACTAACAAATTAACTACCAGTGTCTCAGCTTGGGAAACACTTGGTGAGATTTTCATGCTAGCAGAATCTTATTAATAAAGACAATTTTTGTTCCCTGCAACTTGATCCATTCCTAAGTCCTCATTTACACCATCTATTTTCTACACTTCCCCCAAAAGATCACGCAGTTGGGCGTTTAGAATAGGAACCTCTTTTTAATCACTGCGCAAACATTCAATCTTCTTCTACAAACAGGTCCCCATGTTCTACTGCAATCTTTGATTGGGGGGAGAGAATATTATTTGCTATTTGGATGCATTTTCCTATCAATGTGACCGTTTTATTGTGTTAGTTCTTACGCACAAATACAGTAGTTAATGGTTGCTTTGAATATTTTTTTAAACAGAAAAACTAAGGTATAAGTATTCCACTTTTAAAAAAAACCAAGAATTCGATATGAATAGAAATTACATTCTTTTGCTAGACCAATTTCCTCCTATTTTCATTTTTAGAATACTTAGGTATTTTCCAACATTGGAAGTTTATTAGTATAGTCCACTGGTTACAGGATGGTGACAAATTCAAGGCACCTGGGATGATCTCACCACAGCCACACCAGAAGCAGTTAGATGGTTAGCTTATTTAGATATTGAATTATAACATCCATTCTACGGTGATTTTATTATGGTTTCATCTTAATTTAATATTTTATCTCCTATATTGTGTGTGTGTGTGTATTTGTTGATGCTTTATTTAAGATAAATTTGTGTATCAGTGACTGCATGAACTTTGTAGATGCCATATGCTAAATAAATAAAATAAAATGGTTACAGGACAAAGTAAATAATTCACCTGAATTCAGGCTAGATAAGGAACATTTACTATAACCTTCCTACTGGTAAAGAGGAATTGTTCTCTTCTGCAATAGCAATGAGGGTAATGGCATATAAACTAGTTGGATTTAATATGTTGGATGTAACTAGTTGGATTTCTAGTTGGATGTAATATGTTGCTGTCTGGGATA